CCACCTCTGGTATATGGGGCCAGCACCCTACTCCTTGAGTCATAGGCACTGCCTGTCACTTAATGTTTTTGATTACTGGCAATTCCAAGCATCCTCAAACTACAGCCCACGGGCCACATGTGGCCAGCCTAGGACATTTATTGGGCTCACCGGGTGTTTCTGCCCCCACTCCCTGTCCTGCTTAGCAGCCAACTCATCCTGGGCCCACAGTCCGGCCCTCCAATGGTCTGAGGGACCTGAACTGGCCCCCTATTTAAAAAGTTTGAGGACCCCTGAGTCTTTCTGAGCCTCAGGTTCCTAGTCTATGAAATGAAGAGAAATGTATAGAATCTCAGCCTCACAGGTATATTGAGAAGATTAAATGAAGAAAGGTGAAACCCACTTAATAAATTAGAAAATGCTCTAGTAAAGTTCATTTTTATTTAATAGGCAATACACTATCTTTGTTGGAAGCACTTTGGTTTGAATAACAACCTAAAGATTTGACCAGAGCAGTCAATAATGCTTTGAAATCACTGAAATTGTTCAAATGATTGAAATCGTTCTTACATTTGCACTCCTGAGGAAGAGTGACTTAAAGATGATTTAGTAGTAGATAATCCTCCAATTAAGCTCTCAGAGACTCACTATGCATAAATTGGCAATTCCTGTCTCAAACAGTAGCAGTTACAAGCCATTTACATACACAGATATACAGAGTGACCATAAAGTTTGTGGGCAATTTTAAAATGCACACGAACTTTATGGCAACCCTGTATTTTTGTCCTGTGTTAGTGTTAAGGAGCAAAAATTATAGTATATGTACAATACAGGCATACCGCACTATGCAAATCAACAGGTGGAAATTCTTAGTTACATAATATATTAATATAAAGGATATATTGCCTTCTTTTTTCTTTTTTTCAGACAGAGTCTCACTTTGTTGCCCTCAGTAAAGTGCTGTGAAGTCACAGCTCACAGCAACCTCTTGGGCTCATTTGATTCTATTGCCTCAGCCTCCTCAGTAGCTGGGACTACAGGCACTCACCACAACGCTGGGCTATTTTCAGAGACAAGGTCTCGAGGTCTCGCTCTGGCTCAGGCTGGCCTCAAACTTTTGAGCTCAGGCAATCTACCTGCCTCAGCCTCCCAGAGTGGTAGGATTACAGGCATAAGCTACCTCGCCCGGCTGATATATTTACTTTAAAAAAATTCTTTTTTTTTTTGAGACAGAGCCTCAAGCTGTCCCCCTGGGTCAAGTGCTGTGGCATCACAGCTCACAGCAACCTCCAACTCCTGGGCTCAAGCGAGTCTCCTGCCTCTGCCTCCCAAGTAGCTGGGACCCCAGGTGCCTGCCAAAACACCCGGCTATTTTTTGGTTGCAGCTGTCATTGTTGTTTGGCGGCCCCGGCTGGATTTGAACCCACCACCCTAGGTATATGTGGCTGGCGCCTTAGCCACTTGAGCCACAGGCGCTGAGCCAAAAAATTCTTAAAGAAATTCTTTTAAGTGCCATTGCCATCTTATTTATATTATTAATTAGTGGTAATTTTTTCACTTCAGTGAAATGGCACTGATAAACACTAATAAGATTATGACCTTGAACCCCAACAAATATGAGGTCAGATGATTAAGTTCCAGAACTCATCCTAGAAAAAGTACTACAAACCCCATTGCTGAATATCACTATGGTCACCAGATGGCCAAGGGGAGCACTTCGAAGGTGACCGTGGTGATATTCAGCAAAGAGGGGCACTTTTCTAGGATAAATTCTCACACTTAACTGACCTCGCATTTTTGTAAGACCAAACACTAATCAAAACTGCTTTGCAGTTGCATATTTATTTGAAGAAATGCAAATGAGAGAATAGCACTTACCAAAAGATCTGGTTTAAAAAGAGCGAGGGGTGACAGGGACATGAGATTTTGGTTTTGTTTAAAAATCAGTTTGTAGTTTCTTGATGATCAGAGAACTTAATCCAGAAATGGAAAAGGAATATATATTTTGTATTAATTCATTTAAATGTGGGATGCTTCACAAATGTGTGTATCATCTTTGCACAGGGGCTATGCTGATCTCTGTTTCAATCCAATTGTAGTGTACATCCTGCAGAAGCAAGTATTATATTGATATTTTTCATGATGAAGATAATTAATTTGATAGAACCTGAGAGGTTTGTCCAAGATAGGGCCTCAAAGAGCAGATCACAGTAATTTTCAAGCCAAAAGGTGAGTAAAACAGGATTCACACATTTAGAAAACTTTTAAAAACTAGTTTGGGGGTTTTAATGTAATAATTAGAAATTCTGTCTACCTAACAATCTTTGAAAGATATGAACATTTTAGATTTAGGGCAGAAACTATTTAAATATAAAACTTTGCTCCTCTGCATCTTTCTGTGTCCTATGTAAATGTTTCGATGGCTTTAGTGAGAGTCATGTCTGCCTAAGAGAAAATAGGGCACTGTGTAATTATCAGGAGAAATTAAACTACCAAGCTTCATTAGAAAAGTCACCTCTTACCTAGAGCATTTGCTCTAAAAACCAGCCACTTAGTAAAGATTGATTTGAGTACTTAGTGAGCTGTAGCTAAAGCCTAGCTACCTTTCAGTGATTTCAAAGCTCTTCCTAAAACTCCTTTGCTTTCACAGCTAATCTATTGCCTCTCACTCTTCAAGGTTTTCAGTGCCTTTGAAAAGACCACCTGAAGGGAAAGAGATTACTGATACAATTACAATAGAAACAGGTTAAAACAAGATGTCAAGAACCCAAAGAAGAAGGGAATCACTGAGGGTTAAAATTAGATGGTGTCCTCTTGGATTTTCTAAATTGTCCTCCCCCTATCCTACCCCCGGAATTCAACCCGAATGTCAGAGGCCTAAGTCTTGTTGGACAAAGAAAATTGATAGGCACAATCAGAAAAAAATATGTATAATATTTACCTGATAAGCTATTACTTATTTAACTTATTCAAAATCAAGTGACATGCAGAGAAATTAGATCACTTATACATTGCTGGTGGTAGTGTAAAATAATACAGCCTCTCTGCAAAATGGTTTAGGAGTTTTCTAAAAAAACAGAACAAAACAAAGCTTAAACATGAAACTACCAATGACCCAGCAATTGCACTCCTGGGCATTTATCCCAGAAAAATGAAAACTTGTATTCACATGAAAACCTATACACGAAATGTTTACAGCAGCTTTATTCAGAATAGCCAAAAAACCCAGATGCCGTTCAACAGATGAATGAGGTGAAACAAACTGTGACACATTCATACCGTGGAGTAATACTCAGCAATAAAAAGGAATGAGCTACTGATGTATATGACTTGATGACTCTCCAGGAAGTCATATTAAATGAAAAAAATCAATTCCAAAAGGTTATGTACTGTATGATCCACTTAAATTACTTTTTTTTTTTTTTTTTTTTGAGACAGAATCTCACCTTGTCACGCTGGATAGAGTGCCCTGGTGTTGTCATAGCTCATAGCAACCTCCAATTCTTGGGCTCAAGTGATTCTCTTGCCTCAGCTCCCGAGTAGCTGGGACTACAGGCCCCCCTCCACAACCCTCCCCCCAGCTATTTTTTAGAAATGAGGTCTTGCTCTGGCTCAGAGTGGTCTTGAACTCCTGAGCTCAAGTAATCCAACCACCTCAGCCTCCCCGAGTGGTAGGATTTTAGGTATAGCCACTTCCCCTGACCAACTAACATTTTTTTTTTTTTTTGAGACAGTCTCACTTTGTTATCCTCAGTAGAGTGCCATGGCATCACAGCTCATAGCAACCTCAAACTCTTGGGCTCAAGCAATTCTCTTGCTTCAGCCTCCCAAGTACCTGGGACTACATATGCCTGCCACAACATTCAGCTATTTTTTAGAGATCAGGTCTCGTTCTAGCTCAGACTGATCTCTAACCTGAGAGCTCAGGCAATCTACCCACTTCAGCCTCCCAAGGTCTGGGATTACAGGCATGAGTCACTGCACCTGGCCCAACTAACATACTTTTGAGGACAATGATTTAAACCATTTTGTAATATAATGCCACATAGTAGATAATATAGGTAACAAGTATAACTTTTTATCAAAATCTCAAATTTACATATCTTGATAAAAGACTAATTATTCCTTCATAGATCAGTTAAGGGTACAGTCAGAGAAAACTCAGCTCATATGGGTTTAACCAATAACAGAGTGTTATTGACTCACTTAAGTGGCAAGAAGTTTCAAAATTAGATGATACCCCAATTCAACAAGGGCATCAAGGATTCATTTTCTTTCCATCTTCTGCTCAGCTGTGTACAATGTTAACTCATCCTTCATCCTAAACTGATTCCCCCTGTGAATGTGATATGGCTGGAACTGCAACTGAGTTATGTGCTTCCTCATTTATATCACCGAGCTAAGTGAGAGTCCTGAAATTCACCCTGATCAGACCACCTGAGATCAAATGTCCACTTCTAAACCAATGATAGTGAGCAGCTACCAGGTTGGCGGGAGTTGGGGGGAGGCGCTGAGGAGGGGAAAAGTGTGACCTTGGGGTCACAGTGGCCTTCTGTATCCTTGAGTACAGCCTTTTGACTGAATCTAAATGTTACAGAACAAATCCTTTTAATAAAGGGATTTGTTCTGTGAAGTTGCAGTCAAAAACACGGGAGAAAATAATCAAGGGCTCTTTGATGGTAAATAAAACAAATTATATGGGTTTTTTTAAAACCACAATTAAAAAGGAAAAACAAGCCAAGAATTACTATTATAAAAGAAAGTGAAAGAAAAGAAAGAAAACAGGATACTAGATAGATTAAAAAAATTTAAAAAAGAATTGAGAAAAAAAACCAGATAGGTTTAAATTAACTATAAGAGTCTTGGGGCTCGGC